TCGGTCGAAAATCAGAGACAAACAGAGACGAGTTCTTAGAACGAAGTGTCTTGTTTTTAAACCTTGCAGACAGTAAATAACTTCAACTGGCACCTGCTTTGTCTCACCTCTTCATAAACATTTCTCTGTCTGTACTAACCGTTCGTAAACATTCCTGCTGTCTCTTGACTCCTAGTGACCCTCTTGACATCACTAGAACCACCCCCCTGCTGGTTGTTTCAACCAATCAGGAAGTACCACGTAACAGGAAGTGGATACCCTTTTAAAAGGAACACTTTGTGGAACTATTCAGTTCGGTCCTGGAGTTCAGTGCTGGAACTCAGTCGGAGCCTTAAGTCTTAGGGCTAAGTCTTCAGAACTTGGAGGGGATGGATGGGACCGTGTGCCAAGGGGTCCCTCCATTTAGCGGAGTCATGGCTCGCATCGCTGTGCCCTCAACCAGAGCAGTAAATGTTCCACTTCTAAGGAAGCTTATTCGGTGGAACTGAGTATATGCATTTATTCTAAAGATTCCCAGCTACTTTAACCGGAGACGCTGTAAAGGGATCGTACTAATGGACTTCTGTTCTGGAGTGGATGCATCCTCTGCTAAGGTAACAAAGTCGCTGCACGTCCTGAAGTGTACCGGAAAGCTGAGCGGGTGTCGGAGGAAGGTTGCAAAGTTCTGGTTTCACACATAGCTTCCATCTAAACCTCCTTTTAAATCTTTAAATCTATGTCTTCTCTTTAAACTTCTATTTGCCAGTAATCTAGATGCCTTCAGAGGTGAATCAGCCTCAATCAGTAATGTTCTGTTGTCTTGTTAGTAAAGCGTGACAAGTTTATTAATCAGAAACAGATCAGCAAATCGATGTGTACATGTTTTGATGTTAAATTTTGATTCTGTTAAATAAATGACCGCATTTATTCTGATGGGTCAAAGATAAAATGGCGTCTCATGTCACTGATTAAACAATCCACTCACAGTTATCTCGGTCACATGGCATTAATTTAACTCGAAAAAGAAAAGAATCTGTTGTAATTAACAATTAATATTCTTTGTGCTTGAACTAGCTTTAAGAATAATTAATTAGTAGTGAAGCTAACAGCTACATCACTACACAATAGTCGATAAAACAGAGCCCCAACGATGCCAAAAAGCAGAGTCCCTGCTATCGTAATTCCAAATATGTAAACGTCTTCAACATCCTCCTGAGACAGAATTGAGAGGCACATTAGCTGCTACACTCCCCACGGGTCCATGACAGTGTGCGTCTCAGCTGGACATGCAAGCTCTTGTAGTGGACTAAGCCTACGTCGGAACCCAGTCTAAGGTCAAAACTCTTGACCTTTAGAACCTTGTGGGACAGAAGCTGTCATTTCATGTATTTGACTCCATAAATACAGGTTCACCCATCCTGAGACTTTCTTTCTTGAAGATTCAAGTGAAAAGAACACTCTCTTTTTATTATCATTACTATCTTACAAATGTTGATAATCAAAGTGTCTTAGTTCAAACCATTTTAGATGTTGCAGTGAACTAATCAATTTTATTAACTGAGTAATGATTTTATTCTCATGTTAAAAGCTGTGCAGAGTTTATGCATTTTTCTGATTTCTGCTTTTGAATGAGCAAGTGTGTGCGTTTACAAGGTTACAGTCAAACGAAAAACAAGTTGTTATGTTAAAACTGTCATGTTTTAGAATCCTCTCAGACGTAAATAGAGATGTTTTGCACCTGT